AAAAAAAAAAGCATTGTATTATCTTTATTTCAAATATTTAACTTTAATGTGATTATTCAGGTTGAAGGTATTAGAATAGATTAAACTTTTATTTATGTAATTTTTGAACTTGTCTAATTCTAAATAAACTAATTGGGAAAAGAAGATCCTTGTAACAAGTTCATGAAAATAAAGGCAAATAAGGACAAATAGTGATAGTCATGTAATGGATGAAACAAGAGAAGAGCTATTCCTACAAACCTTAAGTAAGTTATTGGCAGCTACAGTGAAAAAGAGAATTATTAAAAAGCTATTAAAAAGAAGTAAATTTGGAGAGAAAGAGTTCTTTCTACCATTAAAATCTTAGATGAAACTAATATGTAGATATTTACATAAGAGGTAATGAATCTAAATGGATGATATCTTTAATAGTAGATTTTTTTAAACATATAACATCATTCCCCACATGGTGATTTCTTACAATAACCATCTTAGTAAAAACAGAGACCCTAAATCTTTCACATGGATGATATTCCATTAGGAAAAAATGGGAAAACATCTCATCTTTTCAAATGAAACAATGGGAGGGGACCTCTTAATCAGATGCATGTGCAACTGTGTTCTGAAAATCAAGCAGGCTCTTTGATACTAAGACAATTATTTCATAGAAAATCGTCTCACTGAGACATACTGAGACATACCAAAAGCTTACCCACATCAGCACTAGCCTTGCTAAACCTGGCAAGTATAAGAATGGCAAGCTGAGGAAATACCATAGGTCCTGAACATACATTGCAATCTTGAATCCACGTAGCAACTTCATCATCAGGGATGTCTTTGTTAGTGGCTGCCTTCAGCAGCTCGTTGGTTCGATCCTCCTGCTGCTGCACTGTCGAAGCACACTGTTTGGAGTAGTCCTTGTATCTTTGCCAGAGCTGAAGGAGGGCCTTGCTGGAGTGCAGCTGCTCAGCAATCTCTTCCAACAAGTTATTCCATCTGGAAATAATAGCCAACACTTCATGGGCAGATTACCACCTCTCATCAAATGCCGATATTTACTATTTTATCTTCCATGCTCTTGGTTCATGTGAATATGTGCATAATACAAGGATGACTCATTTCTATTTAACATAACAAAAAGTAACAGTTCATATTTTGAGGGGAGTAGATAATGAGGATGAGGGCGATCTGGGTACACAGCACTTCTAATTCTTTATAAATATCTCGACTGCATTTATCATTAAATCCATTTTGTAAAAACCAAAACTTCAGTGGAATATAATCTACAAGGGTCAAATTCAAAATGTCAGGAAGTTTTAATTACATCATTATTTATAATAAGGCTATGATACAAATAATGTATAAAGGTAGCATTCTCCATACCTCATATTGACTTCTTTCAGTGTATTGGTAAGAGTTTCTGTCACAGGTGGGTGACACTCTTTTAATAGCTGGTCGGTGAGAAAGCCAAATTTCTGTAAGCTCTTTTCCTGTTTTTCTAGATCATCTTGAAGACTCTGCCCAAAGAAAAATATCCCACAGAGGACATGACAGGATGTAAATTCTAGTAAGCAGATTTAAAAGTGATTTATATATGTTTTCATAAATCCATACACAAAAATACATAAACCATGCATGACTTTGCTCCAACGCTTTATAAGCTTTCTTAGTCATTTCTTCTCCTTTTTATGATTTTGTTCTTATGTCTGTGAGAAGAGATTCTTAGAAATTAAGCCTTCTTATACTGGCATCTGGATTCTGCCAGAAGAGTTCACACAGGGTGCCCTTGTCTGTGGTCTGGTAGGAAGCTATGGTGGTGGGGTATGTAATGTACCATCTGTCTTACTATGGTTCCCTTAGATGCCCAAAGCCAAGGCCAGATCTCTATTTTATTGTATACCTAGAGTGATTCTACCACAAACTCCTAATAATTAAAGACTCTAAGAAAGCATAGCTTCTCAGTGGTATCTTCTCTGTGTGTGGTCAGGTTATTGTAGATATAACCACCCTCCTGTCTCAGTGGGGTATAGAACCCAGTGATGATTTTGGTGAGCAGAGGTAAGATTAGTCTGTATCTCCATTCTTTTTCATGGCATCTGTTGACTCCACTTTTTGTGGAACCTTCTAATATGTGCAAAAATATAAGCCAGTGGAAATTCCCACTGTCTGGTTTCTAGCCACTGTTAAGAGATATAAGTGGCTGTTTCTTCTGTCGCTGGTACCCCATCCAGACATGGTGGAGACTACAGAGGCTGCCATGCCTACACAGTGAATACTGTGAGAGATGGAAAAACAAAGGGCAGCTGGGTGTGGTGTCTCATGGCTATAATCCTAGCACTTTGGGAGGCCAAGACAGGAGCATCTTTGAGGCCAAGAGTTCAAGACTAGCCTGAGCGACATAGTGAGA